ACTACAGGCATGCACCACCATGCCGGCTAATTTCTATGTATATTAGTTGGCCAATTAATTTCTTTTTATTTATAGTAGAGACGGAGTTCGCTCTTGCTCAGGGCTGGTTTCGAAACTCCTGACCTTGGCAAATCCGCCGCCTTGGCCTCCAGAGTGCTAGGATTACAGGCTGAGCCACCGTCGCCGCCTTCATACACATATTAATGCTTTGAATGTTGACTTTAGTATGTAATGGTTCCTACATATGGGATAACTTTTTTCAATTTACATAGAATAAAAAATATTAGTTTCATTATAACATTCCAAAAAGATAATATCATTTTTAAAGTGTTTGTCATTTGGGGATAAAAAAAGACAAATACATCATCATAGTTTTAATTTTCCTTAATTACTATTTAAATTCCCCATTGCTAGATTTCTTTCTTAATCTAATTATTTTTAACCTGTGGATTGAACTTAGCATCATTTACTTATTTATTGAGGAAGGAGTTCTTGTTTTTTGTATTCCTCCCCCCCCCAGCTACTCGGGAGGCTGAGGCAGGAGGATCACTTGAGCCCAGGAGTTTGAGGTTGCTGTGAGCTATGCTGACGCCATGGCACTCACTCTAGCCTGGGCAACAAAGTGAGACTCTGTCTAAAAAAAAAAATATATATGTGTATGAGAAATACTGATTACAATAGAAAAGCAGTAAAACATAGAGGTAGTACAAATGTTCAAGATTTAGCAGAATGGTTAAAGGTAACAAACTATAGTGTAGCCATTAATTTTGTGTGTATATGTGTGTTTAAACAATATGATGTTGGTTATATGATAGTTTTAAGTAAAAGAAAGGCTCTAACCATATTCTGCCCCATAAAAGGTATTTTATGTTTATCATCAGAAAACTTAACAAGCACTCTTTAAATAATTTTTTATAAGTTATTCTTACTTTCTTTTTCAGAACTTCCAGAAAGTATGTGTCTTAAATTTCAGTGTGGTGTTCAGATTCAATTAGGATTTGCAGCTGAGTTTTCTAACGTCATGATAATCTATACAAGTATAGTTTACAAGCCACCTGAGATAATAATGTGTGATGCCTATGTTACTGATTTTCCACTTGTAAGTCTCTCCTTTTTTCCTTTATTTAAAATGCAAAGATGTATTCTCACTTATTAAGACTTAATTTTTAAAAACAAAGTTGATGGAGAATATGAAGGAAATATGTATATATTTATATAATTGTGTATATGTATGTTTATTTGTAGTTTAGTATCACTGATCATAATATTTAATAATTACTGATCAGATATAGAAATAAGTTCATTCAGTAAGGATACCTTTAATTTCTCATATCCTAAATAGAAAATCACATGTGAAGAAATACAGTGTGCAATACATATGTCAAGAATAATTTCCTTTTAAAAACTTTTGTTTCCAATATGTTATTATAAGTTATGTCTTATTTGGCAAGTTAAGGCAGTATACCAGAAGAACAGAAATCTAGCTCTATTTTTAAACATTTAGGTATGATATTTATTTTATGTTGGTCTAAAGAAGCCAATAAATAGAACCCCTCTTTCCTACATAGGTGTTACAAGCTGAGAAGTAAGCAGGGAGTAAGACAAACAGAAACCCAGTGTATCACTTTTATTACTGATAGAGGCTTCACGGAGGACACTGCTTCGTGTGAGAGCAAATGGTCTAGCACCAAAGCCCAGAGTTCGATAAGTCGGCCCTGCACCCCAGTCACAGCAACACTGGACAGGGATAGGCCTCCCAGGGTGCTGGGCAGGGGCAGAGACTGGGGGCTTCTCTCTGGAGGAGCAGAACACCTCCTGCTCTTGGCCAGTGGGTTGGCCATAAAAGAAAAGGGGAGAGGTTGCCTTTGGCATGTCCATTATTTTTCTTAAATATCCTAATCATATATATCCCCCTGCACCTTCCCAAAAGTGACGATAAAGAGGGAGAGAACCCAGGAGTCACACTAATGGGGCTCTCTCCACTGAAAAGGAGACTTGAGTAGGTTAAGAAGTGTTCCTGGGAATAGTTTGAAAGGAAACTCTCCTTTCAGAGCTCACTTTACTTTCTAAATGGCTCAGTGCAGAATTGAGTGTTCCTGTTATAACCATATAATGTTGGTTTTGTTGTTTCTTTAATCCTGGGTTAGGGGTAACCTACTCAGACCAAAATTCATGAGAGAGCATATATACCTGTTAGGATTTCTTATGTCATAGACTGTGTTGTGACTGTCATTAACTTCATTATTAACATTCACTGATCTTTCACAGGACCTAGATATTGACCCAAAAGATGCAAATAAAGGCACACCCGAAGAAACCGGCAGCTACTTAGTATCAAAGGATCTTCCCAAGCATTGCCTCTATACTAGACTCAGTTCACTGCAAAAACTAAAGGTTACTACTTTTCCTGTTTGTGGCTACTGATAGAGAACTTGATGGAACTGGAAGTTCAATTTAGCATAGACCATAGATGTGCTGCTACATTGGGTAATAAACTGAAATAGAGATCTGCACTGGGTCTCATCAGTTCCTCTTTTTATATTCTGTCCCTGATAGTGGCTGCAGGACTTTTGTGTGAGAGTATATGTGCTTACCTTCCATACTGTTGAAAAGTTAGGAACATAGAGCATATTCTACTTTTAAATATCTTAGTATTTTCAAGTAATCATTTCCTAGTTTTGTGACTTTCTACAAAACACAACAAATTAGAATTAGAATTTCTTTTCAATCTTTTTTCATTTCTAGTTGACTTACAAAGGAGAAGCTAGTTCTACATGGTTGAGCATCCTAATAAAAGCATATCCTTACAGAAGTTGAGTTTTTAATTTGTTCATAGCCGCATGACCATAGAATGTATGAGCCAAAACTCAGGAAATAGAAAGGGCCCCATTGACAGTTACATAAGGACAACGGGCATAAATCTGTTGTCTCCCTCTTCATTAGCTCATCTACTTCAAGTCTCCTCTTCTCTTAGAAATTTAGCCCATTATCTGATTCAGTTATATTTTCTAACTATGATTGTGGATGATTATTTATAATATATTAAAAATAACTTAAACTTTTGACCTAGGTATAAAGCCAGATCATTTTTTATTGAAGGATAACTCCCCATCTCCTCCAACAATAAGGACAGATAAGTCTCCTAAGCCCCACTGCTTAGAAAATACCTTTTCACTGTTCATAAGGAATAGAATATAAGATCTCTGTGATTTCTATTTATAGTAGTAAGGACTACAATTCTACTGAATTCTTGAGTATTGAATGAAGGAAAAAGAAGATAAATTGAGTATAGCTGGCCTTTCTTAGTTTAGGGTAGATGCAAAGGATACCTTGATTTGGAACCTGGGAAAGAGGGATGGGTGGATTTTTGTGTTGGGGTGTGTGTGTGTGTGGAATAATATTTTAAGGTTAATATCTCTTCACTGTTGATGTAGATAATGAACCTCATTTTTTTCCTTTTTAGGAACATCTGATCTTCACAGTATGTTTATCATATCAGTACTCAGGATTGGAAGATACTATAGAGGAAAAGCAAGAAGTGAATGTTGGGAAACCTCTCATTGCTAAATTGGACATCCATCGAGGTTTGGGAAGGAAGACTTGCTTTCAGACTTGCCTTATGTCTAATGGCCCTTACCAGAGCTCTGTGTCCACCCCAGGAGGAGCAGGCCATTATCACTCATCTCAAGACTCATTCCATGGCGTTTACCATTCGCATATGGGTAATTCGAATAATGTTATGCCTTCAGATAGTTGTCATTGCAGCCGGACTCCAGATGCGTTTATTTCCAGTTACCGTGCTCACCATTATTCATGCCAGTTTGGCAGAAGTAATGTGCCAGTAGAGACAACTGATGAAATACCATTTAGTTTCTCTGACAGGCTCAGAATTTCTGAGAAATGACCTCTTTGTTTTTTGAATTTAGCTTAATTACTAGATGCCTCATATGAAATAGTACTGTATCTGTATAAAGTGAGACAACGTGAAAAGGCAAATATGAATATGTAGAGAGAGAAAATTAGTAACAGCTGGTTCATAGCAAACTCAGGCCTTTGAAATGTTGGCATTACATCATTTAATCACTTTTTAAAGATTTTTTGAGTTGGTTGATCTGTTTTATAAGAATGAAGTATGGGTGTATATGTGTTTATGTGTAAATAGCAAAAATGTTTTCATTTGGACTACTCTGAAGTAAGAGCAGTGGGAATGGCATTATCATCAGATACGTGCATTGTATTTTTAGCACCAGAAAGAACCTTGCTGATGATCAGGCTTAACCTAATTTTACTAGTGGGAGAAATAGAGGCATCTAAATTAGAGGACCAGAACCAAGACCTCCAGAATTCTATTCTAGTGTTTTTTCCACTACACACTGCCTTCCTGACAGATTCTGAGACAGGTAATATTTTTGTAGATAGATTAGAATATATTTATATATGTGTAATATATAGATATGCATATCTGTGTGTTATCTCAAGGAATGTACAAATTTATTATGTGATTATAGGATTTTGCTACAAGTGTCAGTTAAGAAGTTTGTGTATAAATCTTTTTTTTTTTTTTTGAGACAGAGTCTCACTTTGTTGCCCAGGCTAGAGTGAGTGCCGTGGCATCAGCCTAGCTCACAGCAACCTCAAACTCCTGGGCTCGAGTGATCCTTCTGCCTCAGCCTCCCGAGTAGCTGGGACTACAGGCATGCGCCACCATGCCCGGCTAATTGTTTCTATATATATTAGTTGGCCAATTAATTTCTTTCTATTTATAGTAGAGACAGGGTCTTGCTCTTGCTCAGGCTGATTTCGAACTCCTGACCTCAAGGAATCCGCCCGCCTCAGCCTCCCAGAGAGCTAGGATTATAGGCGTGAGCCACCATGCCCGGCCTGTGTATAAATCTTATGTAGAACAGGCTGAAGTTTCTTGTTTGTAAGATTATAATACCACCGGAGAGGTGAGGATTTCCTGTTTGTCTGTGTTAAAGCTAAATAGCAGAGGTTAAGAATCAAAATATAATTGGATAATTTTGATAGCTACTTATCTGAATCTTCCCAACATTGGAAGTGTTTTCCTTGATAACATGTATTTTGTTCTTGAATTTTACTGGCCTTAAGCAATAGTATCCTTATCACCATTGGTTCTACCTAAAAGCAAGCTAAAAAGGTAACTGACAATAACAACAACAAAAAAAGATTAAATTAGTAAAAAAAAGATTAAATTAAGTCTCACAAAGAAAATCCCAGGCCTAGATGGCTTCATTGCTGAATGCTACTAAACATTAAAATTAACCTTGATTCTTTGCAAACTCTTCCTAGAAACAGAAGAGCGAACACTTCCCAACTCATCCTTTGAGGCCAGTGTTCCCCCGATACCTAAACCAAACAAAAATACCACAAGAAAATAAAAATATTCCTTTCAAATATAGGCACAAAAATCATTAACAAAATACTAGCATACTGAATCCAGCAACATATAAAAAGGATTATATGTCATGACCAAGTGGGATTTATCCCAGGAATTCAAGGTTGATTTAATGCCTAAAAATTAATTAAGTGAATATGTAGTCAATTCTCATTATTCACAGTAGTTACATTCTATAAACTGACCACAAACACTGAATTAGTGAATATGGAACCATTGCTTTTAGAAGTGTATGTGTGTTTACATGTCTCACATAGATTATGAACTTGAATCTCTAAAAACAACTCATCCTGGTAGATTCCATTCTATTTTACAAAAGTGAAAGTAAGGTTCAGAAGTGTTAAGTGACTCACCTGAGGCCATCCCAATAACAGGCGGCAGAGTTGGAATTTAAACCCAATCCATCTGGCCCCAGAATGAGAGTTTCTTGTACTGCACTGAACTGCCCCTGCCATCTCCATCCTCCAGTCATCTCTGTACCAGAGCTGAAACAAGAAAGCAAAGTATGTCTTTGTTTGACCTCAGCTGGGAACATGCATATTGGGTGACTCAAATTTTTCACCAGTCTGCACATGTCCATGAATGACTACAAAGTGCCACAAATACTGATTTGAGAGTTAAAAATTTTAGTTAAGTCAGTAAATGCACAAATACATAATCATAAATAATGAGGATCAACTGTACCATATTAATAAAGCACAAAACCATATTCATTGTCTTAATAGATGCAGAGAAAGCATTTGATAAAATCTAACACCGTTTTATGATAAAAACACTCAACAAACTAAGGATAAAAGGCGTCTTCCAAACATGTTAAACAAAACATCTATGAAAATCCCACACCTAACATCATACTTAATGGTGACAGACTGAAGGCTGAATGTTTTCCCCTTAAGATGAGGAATAAGACAGATGTTCACTCTCACCACTTATGTTCAGCATTGTACTTGAGGTTGTAGCCAGGGCAATTAGGCAAGAAGAGAAGGAATAAAAGCCATCCATATTGGAAAAGAAGTAAAAACTGTATGTATTCACAGTTGACTTATATAGAGAAAATCCTAAGGAACTAATTTAAAAACTAATAAATGACTCCAAGGTTTTAGGATATAAGATCAAAATACAAACATCAGTTTTATTTCTATACTAGCAACAAACATTCTGAAAGTGAGATTAAGAAAATTCTATTTACAGTAGCATCGAGAAAAATAAAATTACAAAATAAAATAATACTATAAAACTTTACTTTCTTCCTTATCGAAAGAAATTAAAGACAATCCAAATAAATGGAAAGATATACATGTTCATGGATTGGAAGACTTGACATTGTTAAGATGGCGATGCTGCCTAAATTGGTCTATAGACTCAACACACTTCCTGTCACAATCCCAGCTGGAGTTTTTGCAGAAATTGACAAACTGATGATAATATTGATGTGGAAATGCAAGGGACCCAAAATAACCAAAACAATCTTAAGAAAGAACAAAGTTGGGAGGATTTGCTGTTACCAATTTAAAAACTTACTAAAATAAGACAGTGTAGGCATATGGATAGATATATAAATCAAAAAGAACAGAGAATCCAAAAATAAACCCGTACATTTCTGACCAACTGGTTTTCATCAAGGGTGCCAGTACCATTCAATGGGGAAAGAGTTGTCTTTTCAACAATTGATGCTGGGACAACTGGTAGCTACATGCAGCACGAAAGGGTCCTTACCTCATACCACATACAAATTTTAACTCAAGATCGTTCAGAGTCCTAGATATAAGAGGTAAACCTAGAAGAAAATGGAGAAGTAAATCTGTAGAAAGAAAATGTAGAAGTAAATCTGTAGAAAGAAAATGTAGAAGTAAATCTGTAGAAAGAAAATGTAGAAGTAAATTTAGGCTAAACAATGGTTTCTTAGATACTACACCAAAAGCACAAGCAACAAAGGAAAAAAATAGGCAAATGGGACTTCACCAAAATTAACTTTTGTGCATTGATGAACACCATTATTAATAAATCGAAAAAATGGCTCTCAGAATGGGAGGAAAATTCATAGTTCTGATAAGGGCTTGTTGTTCCCCGGATTCCTTAAGGACTTCTTTTGAAAGGGCCCTTTTGGGGTTGTTAATCGTGGCTACTGTAGAGCAGCACTGTCCAGTGCGCGTCTGTGGGGGTGGAAGTGCTCTGTGTCTGCACTCCCCACGTGCCAGCCCCGAGCCTTAGCTGGGTGTTGAGCAGTTAAAATACAGCTAGTGTGAGGAATGGAATTTTTTAATTTTAGTTTTATTTAAATAGCCACATGTAGCTAGTGGCTTCCATAACGGACTGTGCAGGTGTCTCAAATGGAACTAGAAGCTAGGAAGGGTAAAGAAACGTTTTACCTTTCACTTTATGCCCTTCTGTATGTTTGAATTTCTTAAAAATCTAAGCATGTATTTAGAATTTTTAAACGGGCTTTAATTTTTTTTTTGAGACAGAGTCTCACTCCGTTGCCTTGACTAGAGTGCCGTGGCGTCAGCCTAGCTCACAGCAACCTCAAGCCCCTGGGCTCAAGCAATCCTACTGCCTCAGCCTCCCGAGTAGCTAGGACTACAGGCATGTGCCACCATGCCCGGCTAATTTTTCCTATTTTTGGTAGGGACGGAGTCTCGCTCTGGCTCAGGCTGGTCTTGAACTCCCGAGTTCAAATGATCGTCCCGCCTCTGCCTCCCAGAGTGCTAGAATTACAGGTGTGAGCCACCTCGCCCAGCCTAAACTGGCTATAAAAACAAGAAGAATGGTAGTTTTTTTTATCAGCCATGTTTTTATTTTACTTGAATTTCTTAGGCCAATTTCTTTGTAATATTAGGATAGGATTTACACAAACATGGAATTTAGGAACAGTAATCTATCAATACCATTTAGAATGTAAGAAAGAAATTTGGATAGCAGAGGCTTGAAAATTAAAGGCTCACCTAAATTCAAAGCCAATATTTGATGCTGGGGAAGGGGGTTATATTATTTTCTGGAAGGTAATTTTTAAAAATTACAAAGTAACAATTATAAATTATGTTTTCTAATAAAAGGAAAACCAAATATCAATACATGGGATCATTTGAATGTAAAACACTGAATTGTTATTTATCTTATGATAAATAGGTCAAAACATACTTTAGAAAAAAAGTCTTTCAAGAATAATAGCACAGAAAAGTGCTAGTGCATTTAGTCATTGCCTTCTTCCTTTATCTCTAGCATTTATTACTTTTCACATCTCAACTTGCACATGAAGCAACAATGAGGTGGCCTCTTCAGTAATAACAATTTTTGGACTTAACAAATTCAAGAAATTCAATCATATAACCAGAACATAGATCATTGACATATATATTAGCATAAGTGTAATATCAGGATGAAATCTGATTTTTTGTTGTTTACTTTTAAGGTTTTTTTTTTAAAAAAAACAGATGGCCTAATATACTTGTTTCCTGTTACTTGAACATTCCCCTGACGCTTAAATACTATCATTGCTTTCAACTGTCAGCTGATGCCAAATACTCAGAATTTTTACACTGCTTTTATGCATTTCATCCTGTTTCTCAGATTGACACTGGCATTCAAATTCACAGTTTGATATTGTGAATTTTATCCAGATCTAATTAAAGTATACTTTTTATTTCTTGCCCCTTGGATTATATGACATT